GTCAGGCTCATTTAATTTGTGTTCCTTTAGTTGGGGAACTGGCCCCAAACAGAAAACCAAAACCTCAAACCAAGGAATGGGCAGCAGAAAGGAAAGTGACCTACTGAAAGGAAACTTGCCAGAGAGAAATTTTATATCCCTTTTCTACAATCTTTCCTTGGCATTCTCATTAACAAACCTTCCCCGCATCCTAGAATCCCTCACAGTTGATGGCAAATAGGCCTGCTGACACTCTAACAATTTCTCCAGAACCCAATCGCCAACTTCTTTCTGTGACATCCTCTGCTTTTTATCTGTGGTGTCCACTGTTCCAATCCTAAGATCCCTGACCCTGGACTAACATTCAAGGGCATAGATCCAGCCTTATTCCAATGTCACAATTAGCAGAGGTCTGTAGTTACCTTACCTTTCTACATACTATAACCTGCAAATAATTAGGTTGTGCAATTCTGAATGCAGACAATTTGAAGACACCAGGTTTATAGGTAAGTCACACTAGAATCACTCTAATAAAGCATACATGAATCTTGACTAACCCCAAGGCAGATATCTGGGAATATGTCCATGGGGACTTCTCAAGATAATATAATAAACTATAACCAGAACAATTTTTAACTTGCTTCCATCCCATTAAGTTACTTTACATGTAATAATTTTAACTAAATCTGCTCAGCAACCACATTCTACCCATATGAACAATCATAAAACCTGCCAACCCTGACTTTGGCTTGTAGTTTCAAGCTGTGATTCTGTTATAAAGGGCTTAGAGCATAGCTGTGCCTTTTCAGTCTCTTCAGAATGATGTATTATTGTCAATAAGATATTTAGCTTAAAACATACAGAAGTCAAGATCTCTGTGACTTATGAGGGTAAGTTATGGGTAAAAAAGAAAGCAGGACAAGCTTACAAATTAGGAGCAATTATCTGTTTGTCACTGGGAAGTCAATGAATATTTTGTTACCCAAATATTGTCTGATGCAAATAAGAAAATGTAATGTTACAGGTTCTCTGTTTTTAGGTAATAGTCTTTTTATTTTATTTACTGATTTATTTATTTTTATTTTTTAAATATATTTTCATAGATTTCAGAGAGGATGGTTGAGGGAGAGAAAGATAGAAACATCAATGATGAGAGAGGATCATTAAAAGGCTGCCTCCTGCACGCCCTCTACTGGGGATTGAGCCCGCAACCCCGGGCATGTGCCCTTGATCAGAACTGAACCCGGGACCCTTCAGTCCGCAGGCTGCTGCTCCATCTGCTGAGTCAAACCAGCTAGGGCTTATTTACTGATTTATAAATTACATTTATTGGGGTGACATTGGTTAATAAAATTATACAGGTTTCAAGTGTATAATTCTATGATATATATATAATCTTACAGTGCATTTTATGCCCATTACCCAAAGTCAAATCTCATTCCATCATTATATGTTTGAACCCCTTTACTTTTTACTATCTCCCCACCCCCCTTACCTCTGGTAACCACAATACTGTTGTCTGTGTCTATGAGTTATTTGTTTTTCTTGTTTGTTCATTTGTTGCTTTCAGTTTTATATCCCATATGAGTGAAATCATACAGTTCTTAGCTTTTTCTGTCTGACTTATTTGCTTAGCATGACATTCTCAAGATCTATCCATATTGTCACAAATGTCAGTACTTCATCTTTTCTTATGGCTGAGTAGTATTCCATTGTATATATGTACCACATCTTTATTGAATCATTTATTGAAGGACATTTCGGTTGTTTCAATGTCCTGGCCAACATGAATAATGCTGTAATGAATATAGAGATACATATATCTTTGCAAATACATGTTTTCAAGTTTTTTGGTTACATACCTAGCAGAGAGATTGCTGGGTCATAACTCTTTTAAATTTTTTGAGAAACCTCCATACTGTTTTCCATGGGGGCTGTACCAATCTACATTCCACCAGCAATGAATGAGGGTTTCTTTTCCTTCACAACCTCTCCAACACTTGTCATTACTTACTTGTTGATAATAGCCATTCTAACAGGTGTGATGTGGTATCTGCTAGTTTTTATTTGCATTTCTTTAATAGCTAGTGAAGTTGAGAATCTTTTCAAGTATCTGTTGGCCATCTGTATGTCTTCTTGAGAGAAGCATCTATTCAGGTTCCCATTTTTTAATTGGTTTGTTTGTTTGGTATTGAGTTGTAGGAGTTCCTTATATATCTTGGATATTAATCTTTTGTCAGAACTATTCTTTGCAAATATCTTCTCCCATACTATTGGTTGCCTTTTTGTTTGTTGGTGGTTTCTTCGCTGTGTAGAAGCTTTTTAGTTTGAAATAGTCTCATTTATTTATTTTTGCCTTTACTTCCCTTGCCTTTAAGGTCAAATTCATAATAATCTCTCTTACACCAAAGTCCATAAGTTTAGTACCTGTTTTCTTCTATGTAATTTGTTTCAGGTCTTATTTTTAGGTCTTTAATCCATTTTAAGGTAATTTTTGTATATAGGGACAAACAGTGATCTAGTTTTTTTGTGTTTTTTTAAAATATATTTTATTCATTTTTTTTACAGAGAGGAAGGGAGAGGGATAGAGAGTTAGAAACATCAATGAGAGAGAAACATCGATCAGCTGCCTCCTGCACACTCCCTACTAGGGATGTGCCCGCCACCAAGGTACATGCCCTTGACCGGAATCGAACCTGGGACCCTTGAGTCCGCAGGCCGATGCTCTATCCACTGAGCCAAACCGGTGAAGGCCAGTGATCTAGTTTTAATCTTTTGCATGTGGCTTTCTAATTTCCCAGCAGCATTTATTGAAGAGGATTTATTTTCTCCATTGTATGCTTTTTGGCTCCTTTGTCGAAAATTATTTGTCCAAAACACATAGTTTTATTTCTGGGCTCTCAATTCTGTTCCATTGTACCAGTCTTTTTAAATTTCTGATTGCAAATGGAAAATTTATTCAACTACACTTGTGATATAACTATATTTTTAGTGTAAATCACCAATTGTGTGCCACATATTCACTCAAAACATCAACCCTCTTTTAACTACTGAAAGAAATGTAACTAAGTGGGAGGGTGTCATTTCACCCTCCCCCAACTCAGTATCATATTCCTAATGAAAATATTTCCTTATTTTCAATAACTTATTCCTCATCAATTCTGTGAGAGATGAAAACATGCTCTTTTGAGTGTATACAGGAAGATTTGCCAACTGACTTTCAACTGGTGATTTATGCTTTTTCACTAGAATATTCCTTCCTTCCTTTAACATATCTTGTTAAAAAGTTTAACTGAATTTTTTTCTAGTAGCAATGAACTTAATGTAACTCTAGTCACCAGTAAAATGCAATTGGATTATCCATCAGGATGAACATACAGTATATGTACATATACATACACACATATGCAAACTTAAAAATCACCTCAGATCTTAAAAAATGTTTTTGAAAATAGTTTAAGTGGGATATTGGCAAAAAGTCATTTACTCCTTGTAATTCTTCTTAGGAATTATGAGTTGCCTATTAGTGCCAGAGACAGAATGCAGAAATTATTATAAAAATTTCTTTGCATTTTTCTAAATCCCAGTTGCCCACCTTAAAAAGAAATCGTAATTACTAATCTTTACTAACGATAAATGAGAAAGTGCATTTCCATTGCATTTTGTATTACCATAAGCCAAAAAACTTTGATGAGTTTAAAAATATCACAGGGGATTAGGTCATAACTCATTAGTGCTTTCTAGCACAAGAATAAATAATTCACCACCCGATTTGGTATGATAGTTTTGATTCACACATGAGAAATCTTATTAGCCCATGACAGAATAAAATTATTTTAAAAGGTATGTGTATAAGAATTTTCACAAATATTTGCTTTAATAATTATTTTTCTTCAAATAAGATCAGAAACCCACCACTAATCCCTCATCAAACTAAAAATTATGGAGGAAAGGAAGGAAAGAAGGAAGGAAGGAAGGAAGGAAGGAAGGAAGGAAGGAAGGAAGGAAGGAAGGAAGGAAGGAAAGGAGAAAAGGGAGGAAGGAAAGAAGGACGGGGGGGGAGGGAAGGAGAGAGGGAGGGAGGGAGGCAGTCAAGTCTTCTCAGTTTCAATAAACTCCTATCACTGAGTAAAATGTAATTTCTTCACATACTCAAAAACAGTATCTTATGATAGAGTGTAATTATCCCTGGACCATTAGAAAAGATAGAAGAAATTACAAGAAATGGAATTTCTGTTGATCCCAATGATGATAAACTTCTCAACTTACCCGAAAATCCTGAGTGAATTGCTTTTTTTCTCCCTCATAATTAGAAACTCATAATTAGAAACCATCTTATGGTATTATTAGCAAAGTCTTTAAAAGCCCCAAATTGGCTGAGGCTGGGGTTTAGCTTGTGAAAAAGAAAAGTAGCAAACTAGAGTTGGGCTGGCTATAGGGACTTGCCAAATGAGTCTACAGCAGACTAAAGAGGGAAATATAAATGCAGTTAACAAACTATAAAGCAACATACAAACATTATTATTATTAATGGTAACTATTAATAATAATAATTAATATTTTAATGCTGATCATTTTGATCCACATACCCAAAATGAAAATCAACAAATTAGTTGTCAACTACAGCTCTGCTTTGCATAAGAGTCTTGGAAAAGGAAAGTCATCAGCTCCAAATTCTACCCTATGGGACCTAACTGAGGCTCATTGAAGCCTCAGCAATTACTGCTCTTGGAGAAGGAGATCAAGCAAACAAAGTTTTTTTTTCAAGTTTGGAATTACACACTTACTTCAAAACCTCAAAGAAATTATATTTTTCTTTTCTTCAGAATTGACCATAATGACTTAAGACATTTTAATTTCATTGTAATAGAGCAATTTAAACTAAAATGTTATGACTTACTTAATATTCCTTTAGGAAGACAGATTAAAAGGATGTACAAAGTTGTACATCTATCCAGTGGGTTCAAACACATAAATAAAATCCTTTCTAAAACACAATATTTGGACAAGTTTGGTGTTACCTCTGGTACTCCTAATTTTCGGCATGCTTCCAAAAAGTTTTCCACATTTCTTCTGCATTTGGCCATGCTAAGCTTGGGCTATAAATGCAAACATGCAAAAATAATGCATTATTAAAAGAGAAATAATTTTAATAATAACAAAATTTAAACTTTCTAAATGGCACAAGTAATATGTGTTTATTGGTGAAAAATTATGTATTCAATTAGAAGACAATAAAAATTTATCTATCCAGAAATGTCCACCTAGAGATAAGAACTATTATTATTTTTATTATATTTTTCCAGACATTGTATGCATACGTTTGTGTCTACAAAAACATGCATATATATGTATATACATAGATATGTGTCTTATATGCAGAATTTCTGCATATCCTATATAATAAAAGGGTAATATGCAAATTGACATGAACAGCAGAACCACTGGGAATGACTGGTCGCTATGACACACACTGACCACCAGGGGGCAGACGCTCAATGCAGGAGCTGCCCCCTGGTGGTCAGTGCGCTCCCACAGGGGGAGCTCTGCTCAGCCACAAGCCAGGCTGATGGCTGCCAGCACAGCGGTGGTGGTGGGAGCTTCTCCCGCTTCCTCAGCAGCATTAAGGATATCCAACTTCAGCTTAGGCCTGCTCCCCACTGGCAAGTGGACATCCCCCGAGGGCTACCGGGCTGCCAGAGGGATGTCTGACTGCCAACTTAGGCCCATTCCCCCGGGGAGCGGACCTAAGCCAGCAGGTGGACATCTCCCGAGGTGTCCCAGACTGTGAGAGGGCACAGGCCGGGCTGAGTGACCCCCCCAAGTGCATAAATTTTTGTGCACTGGGCCTCTAGTATGTATATATTTATACAAGTACATACATGTATGCATATATGCAAAATTTTCTGCATATGTACATATTCGCTTATATACATGTATTCACACACACATATTTATACACAATTTTTATGGGGCCAAACTCTTGTGTGATATACTTTAGTTCATCTAAAAATACACCTTTTCCTATCAGCAATTATATTTGTATATAAAGGGTTAAATTCAGTAGCCAATTAAACTCTTTCCCATTAAAGCAATGAATTTAATTAGAAAGAGGCAACATCAAGATAAACAGCACTGAACAAGGTGGATGTTAAGGACTTAACCAAGAGCCTCTCACAAAAGTGCTGACCCTGGCGAGGTGACTTCTGAGGTGTGTGGCATGGATAACAGGCACATCTTGATTCACACATTTTTATTTTTTACATGCTATGTTTTAAAAGCTTTACTGCTAAACTTAATGTTCCACTATTAGTTCTTTTAAAACAGGAGGCAAGAAGCATGAATAACTCCAACTGTCCACGTACAGAAGCAATTCTATCTAATAATAGACAAACATGGTAATTGACCATACCTTCGCTATGCCTCCTATTGGCTAATCAGCGCGATATGCAAATTAACCGCCAACAAAGATGGCGGCTAATTTGCATACTGCAGGCAGGGCAGGCCAGCGCAAGCCGCCATCCGGGCCCCCATGTGCCACCTAAGCCCCGCCCCCAGCCGGCCCTGGGCGGTGGGACACTGTGGCCATGATCGTGATCATGATTGGAAACCAGGCCACAGGCAAGGCAGCACCCCGGGACCCAGGAGCCGCCCTGCCTGCGGCCTGTGATTGTGATCGTGATTGGAAAGCTGGGCCGCAGGCAAGGCAGCCCCCCAGGACCCAGGAGCCGCCTTGCCTGCGGCCCATGATCCTGATGGTGATCGGAAAGCCGGGCGCAGGCAAGACAGAACTCCGGGACCCAGGAGCCCGTCAGCGAGGTCTGCAGGTGAAGTAGCGATCAAGCTATCGGGCGGGGAGGGGGTACTGGAAGGAGCTACAGGAGCAGCTATGGCCAGAGACTGAAGACTCCCGCCGGAGCGAGGAACAAAGACTGAAGGCTCCAGCCACAGCGAAGACTGTGTCCAGAGAGAAGATGGAAGGCGGTGGCTAGAGTGAAGGTCTGGGTCCCGGGTGCCAGAGGAAAACTGGTGCTGGCAGCCAGGGGAAAGAAGGCCTATTGCACGAATCTCTTCATGCAACGGGCCTCTAGTGTTTTATGAAAACTGATCTTACCCTGCTAACAGCAAGGGAGAGTGAAGCAACTCATTCCATAGCTTAGGGGCCGGCACCAATCTTCATAAAACTAAATTTGCACAGTATTTATTAATAAAAGAAACTTCTTCTATCCCACCCCCTGAAAAAAAGAAAGAAAGAAAGCCTGCTTCCAGGTGGAACAATTTAATTTGGAAGTTAAACAAATATTTTCCACTCTGGCTGGGGAGGATATGAGGTCTGCAAAGATGGGCCAAGAAGCTGTTAGGTGGTTATGCCCACCTTTTGTGTATCTTAGGACAAGACAGCTACATTCAGCCTCATGCAAAGAGAAGGGACAGAAATGGGTAATGTGATATGGGGATATCAGACAAAAAGGTCCTAGCCCCGCACACAGGATACTGAGAGGCAGTTCTGATCCTCCTAATTAGGATTTAGGGGAGTCTGTTCTGAAACTCCAAAGATGCTCAACACCATTCAAAATACTTAGGTCAGCCCAGTAAAGTCAATGAAAGTGTGCTTTAAGCTACATAAAGAAAATGTTCCATCTTTGGAAGTGATAAAGTGCCCATTCTAAGATTGTTGCCTAGTATCAATTAGAAAAGTACTTGCCACAAATACAATAGTTCAAAAAAATAAAAAATTACAACAACTTCGATGCCAGTGGTTAGCTTACCAAGTTGTCAAAGATTCAGAAAATCTATTTTAAGAGATTCTTAGCATCTATCCTATCTATTAAAAGAGAAACATGGTAATTAGCCATACCTCCGCTACCCTTCCCATTGGCTAATCAGGGCGGCATGCAAATTAACTGCCAGCCAAGATGGCGGCCGGCAGCCAGGCAGCTTGAAGCAAACATGAGGCTTGCTTGCTTTAGTGACGAAGGACTCCAATGTTCCCCACCTGCCGCTGCCGGCCTCTGAGCTTGCAGTTTGAAACATTGTTACAAATACAGAAGCTAAACAAAACCCCAGAAACCTGCTTTCAGCCAGCCGGGATCTCAGAGCTGGAGTTGAAACAGTGTTTTGATTGTAGAACCCAAACAAACCAGATACCTGCTTTCAGCAGCTGAGGCCTAAGAGCTGGAGCCAAGCCTCAGAGCTAAAGCTGGCCCAGAATAAAAAGAAAAAAAAGAAAAAAAGGAGCGGTTGGGAGCTTCAGTCACCCGCCAGCCTGAAAACAGCCCTCAGCCCCTCACCCAGACTGGCCAGGCACCCCAGTGGGGACCCCCACCCTGAAGGGTGTGTGACCAGATGCAAACAGCCATCATTCCCTCACCCAGGCTGGCCAGGAACCCCAGTGGGGACCCCCACCCTGATCCAGGACACGCTTCAGGGCAAACCAGCCAGCCCCCACCCGTGCACCAGGCCTCTATCCTATATAGTAAAAGGGTAATATGCCTCCCAGCACCGGGATCAGCGGAGCCGTGAGGCCTCTTGGCACCGGGATCAGCGTGACAGGTGGGGCAAACCCCCTGATCACCCTGCGCCTCTGTGTGTGACAGGGGGTGGGGCCACAACCTCCCTATCCACGCTGCTCTGTTCGTGACAGGGGAAGGCACCCCAACCCCCTGATCAGCCCTGCTCTGTGCCTGATAGGGGGGAGCTCCCCAACCCCCTGATTGCCCTGCGGCTCTGTGTGTGACAAGGTGCAGCGCCCCAACCCCCTGATCGGCCCTGCTCTGTGTGTGACAGGGTGCGGCGCCCCAACCCCCGCCCCCCGGGCCCTGCTCTGTGTGTGACGGGGTAGAGCCATAACCTCCCCATCGACCCTGCCCTGAGTGTGACAGTGGCGGCGCCCCAACCCCCTGATTGGCCCTGCTCTGTGGGTGATAGAGGGCGGCGCCCCAACTGCCCCCCACGGGCCCTGCTCTGTGTGTGATGGGGTAGAGCCATAACCTCCCCATTGGCCCTGCCCTGAGTGTGACAGGGTGTGGTGTCCCAACCCCCTGATCCGCCCTGCTCTGTGTGTGACAGGGGGAGGTGCCCCAACTCCCCTATCGGCCCTACTCTGTGAGTGACAGGGGGGAGCTCCCTAACCCCCTGATCGACCCTGCTCTGTGCGTGACATGGTATGGAACCCCAACCCCCCTGATGGGCCCTGCTCTGTGCATGACAGGGGATGGCGCCGCAACCTCCCCATTGACCTTGCCTTGAGTGTGACAGGGGGCGGTGCCCCAACCCCTCAATTGGCCCTACCCTGAGCGTGACTGAGGGTGGCATCGCAACCTCCCGATCCGCCTTGCTCTGTGCATGACAGGGGGTGGTGCCCCAACTCCCCAATCAGCCCTGCTCTGAGCCCGACCAGGGGCTGCACCTAGGGATTGGGCTTGCCCTCTGCCACCCAGGAGCAGGCCTAAGCCAGCAGGTTGTTATCTCCCGGGGGTCCCAGACTGCGAGAGAGCACAGGCTGGGCTGAGGGCCCCCCCCCCCAAGTGCACAAATTTTTGTGCACCAGGCCTCTAGTATATATATAAAAGCCTAAGTGACCGAATGGTCAGTTGCTATGACATGCATTGACCACTAGGGGGCAGATGCTCAATGCAGGAGCTGCCCCCTGGTGGTCAGTTTGCTCCCACAACCAACCTCCTGCGCCCCCTCCCCTGCTGGCCAACCTCCCACAGCCCGAACAGCCCCAATCACTGGCTAGGCATAGGGACCCCATCTGTGCACGAATTCATGCACTGGGCCTCTAGTATTGACAATAATAGTGATTCTGTTTATCACTATATTCCCTCAGTTTGGCATTAAAAATGGACAGTATTGGTTTCATGAATGAAAAATTAGCATGCTTAAAAAGCTGGCAATCACATGGATGGAAAAGGTTCCCATTCATGACTGATCAAGTGTTTCCTATGTCTCAGATTCTTTATCTGGTGCTAAGGATGCACCTGTGAAACTGAAAGATACAATCCTCATGGTCACTTAGTTCTGTTCTAGTTCAAAATATTAACAAGTTTGAGAAAATTACAGTAGAGTATGATAGATCTTAGTTGTGGGGAGATTGTTATAAGAAAGAAAAAAAGGAAAACACTCTATCTCAGTGCTGAGGAGTCAAGAATGGCTTGCGTCCTGTAAACACTATGGTAGAGAAGAAATGAGAGCTAGTGATGCTGCAGGTGAAGGATCTGGAGGCAGGGTGGGGAGCAGCCTTCTCGTTCAGAGAGCAGCCTCTGCAAACACTGCTGTAGAGATAGCACGCCACACGACACTGTGGCTTGGGCCTTGTCAAAGAGGCTTTAAGATGCTCTCTGAAGAATTTTCAAAGAGTGGACATTTAGCAACTGCATTTCTAAAAAGGAAGCATAACATATGCTATCATATGTTACAATTACTAAAATGGATGTTTGCGAAGAATTTTAGTGACATAGGAAATATTCAGGTTTTAATAATAAATTTTAAAAAACAATATGTATCAGATGCTTACAACTAAAAAACTTAAATACAGAAAGTGCTAATAGTATAGTAACCAAAATGTTTTGATTGTCTTTGGGCGATGATTTATTTTTCTTCTGCATTTCTCTATTTTTTTCTTTTTTGCCAACTAGGCTTTATTTCTCATTATATTTTCATTTAAAATGTTATTTAAAGAAAAATAAAGGTGAAAAACCAAAGGATTTTTAATAAAATGTAGCATTTTTTCTTAAGAATAACTATACAAATGCATATAGATACATGATTCATAGTATCCTCTTACACCGTACAAAATAATTGTACATTTCAATTGGAAGCCGAGAAATCATAGTTTCTTTCTTATACTTTGGGGGAAAATTATTTAAATGAGAATTTGGCACACAGCTCTGACAATATTATAACAGTTTGGATCCCACATGTAAAAAATACTAGAAAGTTTCGCACTGGATTATAGGACAAAATTTACTGCCCAGCCTAAGGCAGCTAGAGGCAGATTTGAAAGAGGAGACAAACTGGTCATTCCACGCCCCCATTTTCTGAAGCAAAAATGACCAAACTTTCCAAAGGAAAAATATGTTCAACAGTATAAAAAAGAAACTGAGAGTTGAAATGGCATCATCAGCTAAGAGAACAGAGGAAAGAAATTAGGACAAATAGTGCCACTGTGAGGCTTTCCAGGAGGCCGAGGGAGGGCGCAGGTGGCTTCACAGTGGCTTTCCCCCGCGCCCTTGCCACGTGGTCGTTTTATGAGCACTATGCCTTGGGATTAAGAAGTCTGAATTTTGAAAATCTGCCCTATTAACACTAATGATAAAAATGGCTTACATGTGTGGGTATATCATATGTAGTACCTCATTTCATCCTCACAATATTTCCCATAGGGAAAAGCAAATTGAGTTTAAGAGGGGTTAAATAACATTCCCAAAGACATATGGCTTATGAGCAGATCTGGAATTTGAATCCAAACCCTAAGCCCCTACTCTTTTCCTGCCTTGTCTAAAGAACAGCAAATAGTGTGAATAGACATTCTTCTTTCTTCTCTACTTGTCTGAACCCGATATAGGCTTCCAGGACAAGCTGATCCCTGATTCTCCACACTCATCTGACTGACCATAAAAGTGACTCCATAGTTCTCCTTTGGATGGTAACATGCTCTGTGTATACAGGAAGAGGATCCATTTGCCAGCTTTATCTCCCCTACAGAGGGGACAAATATTTTTAGGACATTAATGGAGTCTCACTTATTTTCACATTTCCCATCATTCCCCAATGCCCCCAACATACCCTGGAGCACAGTGAATGATCAAGGAACTGTTGCATTAACGACGGCTGATCAGCCTCCGGCTTGACAGGTCAGTAATGATTTTTTACACAGAGCCCACATTTTTTCAGAGCTATCCTAAAATCCCCAATGGCTAATAAAGGAAAGAAACACCATTCAAACGAGAAGCTACCAACTAAAAAACAGCTTTCCCAAAGCCTTCTCACTGCTAAATAACCCTTGGTAAGAAATGAATCTTTAGTCCCTAATGTCTTAAAATTAGCACCCCAACCAGTAATTTCGTAAATATGATTTGCTCTATATTTGAAATAAATTCATTTTCTGTCACTGACACATTTATTTTAAATATTCTCCCTTTAAGAGTGAAAATATTGCTTCCTTCAGATTTATTCCTTTCTGCTCTTCAAGTGGTTTAGGGCCCAACAGAGAGGGTCTGAGCAGATGATCCCACTGGCATCGTTAGCCAGCAACACTGTCTCAAAAGAGTCTGTTTTACGTAAAAAGTAGTTTCCCTTTATGTAGTGTTACTTACAACTGCTGGTGAGGGGACGTGGATGCTTGCAACAGATCGCGGGCGGATGTGATTGACCAGATGGCAGAGGACAACACCATCCATGAGCGCAGCCCCCAGATCTTCGTGCAGGCTGACCTTGAGTCTCATCTCAATGCTCTGTGGGGGAATCAGGACGTTTTGGTCAACGATGGACCACATATACAGCAGTGGTATACCATATAGCAAAGGTGTGTAGTAGGCTGCACCATCTAGGCTTGTGTAAGTGTGCTCAATGATGTTCACAAAACGATGAAATTGCCTGCTAATTTCTCAGAATATATCCCCATTGTTAAGTGGCACATGACTGTATATGAGATGCTCACAATTCGGAAACAACTTAAATGTAGAAAGAATGCCAGTAGAAGCCAAAATGTTAACAGTGCTTGTCTTTGAGCAGTGGGATACAAAAGGATTTATTTTTCTTTAGCATTTCTCTATTTTCTCCAATCAGCATTATTTCCTATTATATTTTCAATTAAAATGTTATTTTAAAAAGGAAAAAAGTGACAAGTAAAGGATTTCTAAAAGAATATAGCATTTTCCCTGAAGAATTAATAAAATATGCAAATATGAATAGATACATGATTGATAGTGTCCTCTTACATCTTGTAAAATGATAATTGTATACTCAAATTAGAGGCCAAGGAGTTATAGTTTTTCCTTTGTAATTTGGGAAAACATATTAAATGAGAATTTAGTACACATCTCCAACAACATTATAACAGTTTTTATCTCATTTGTGAAAAATACTGGAAGTTTCACATTGGATTATAGGACAAAATTTATTCTCCAACCTAAGGCAGCTAAAGGCAGATTTAAAAGAGAAGACAAACTGTCCCCCTCCACTCTCACCCCCCATGTTTTCTTAGGCAAAAAAGTGGTCAAACATTAGCCATGGTCCCTATCATCACAGAGCTGGAAATCTTTAATGTTACCCAGCACGTGACTTCATGCTTGGTAGGAACTCAATTAATTTTTCCATTAAATGATTGACTGAAAAGTTCTGACCAGTTTGGGATATAAAGTGAGGATAACTTAAAACATCTTTAAATTAATGGAATATTACTATTAAGTAACTGAAAAACAGCGCATTAGTTTAAAGTATATCTGAATTGAAATAATACTAGCTTTATACATATGCATTAAGTAGTTCTATTTACATTATCTCATATATTACATATAAAATCACACTACGGTAGATTGGAACTATTATTTTAATACATGAAAAAACGGACACTCAGGGATGTTAAATGACTTGCCCAATATCAAACAGTCTGTAGGCGACCTGGCTAGATTTGAAGCTAGCACTGTTTGCAGTGCTTCAAAGTCTGTTTTTTTAAAAATACAGTTGACCCTTGACCAACACAGGTTTGAATTGTGTGGGCCCACTAATATGAGGATTTTTAAAAATATATATTTTTTTATTGATTTTAGAGAGGAAGGGAGAGTGAGAGAGAGAGAAATATCAATGATGAGAGAGTATCATTAATCGGCTGCCTCTTGCATGCCCCCTGCTCGGGACTGAGCCCACAACCCAGGCATGTGCCCTTGACCGGAATTGAACTCGGGACCTTTCAGTTCACAGGCCAAAGCTCAATCCACTGAGCCAAACCGGCTAGGGTGAGGATTTTTTTCTGATAAATATGCATAGCACTGTAAATGTCTTTTCTTTTCCTATGATTTTCTTAATAACATTTCCTTTTCTCTAGCTTCCTTTGTTGTAAGAATACAGTACATATTACATGTTTAGTATGTGTTAATCAACTGTTGATGCTATTAGTAATGCTTCAGGTAAACAAGCTATTTAGTAGTTAAGTTTTTGGAGAGTCAAAAGTTATACTCAAATTTTCAACTGCTTTAGTGGCGATGGTTGGGGGAGAGGCGCCCCTAACTACCATGTTGCTTCAATTCTGAAAATTATTACTCAAACATATAATATTCCTTGGGTACCTCACGGAGTTGTTCCATCAGTTCTTTTTCTTCTCTCATTTGTTCCATTTTCCTCCGAATTGTAAACTGCGGGTCTATAGATTCCAAATTTCTCTGAGGTCTTAGAAACACTATAATAGAAAGGAAAAAAAGCCTTTATGGAGTGTGTCTCGAGTAGATGGTCATAACACTATTCATATTTAAATTAAGCTAACGGTTTCTTTATTTATCCCAAATAATTCATTCACCACTCGTAGAAATAATGGTAAAAATGTAACACCACATGAAAGCATGATTCAAATATTCTAAAAAAGATTATAATTTAAAATTATACTGGGTTGTGTGGACTAACAAAAGCTGTATTTTTTGGTGGCAATAAACTGAATCCAGGGAAGAGCTTGGCTCATCCTCAGAGATGGTCCATCTCACCTCTCTGAAAGACTTCCTTCCTCTCTCATTTTCCCAGTGTTTTCATTTTAAGTTTTCATTTACATTACACTTGAGGTTTCAGTCTTTTCATTAAACTCAGAGAATAGGTTTCACATAAGAAGTCTCTAGAATTGCTTTACATATTTAAAATAGCACAGGTTAATGTTTTTTTGGCTAAACTTTTTCATAAGCTTGGGTTAAGAACTAAGTGATGATACACAGGATTACATGTATGAGTGTGGAGTGGAAAATTCTGCCTTCTTGTCACTGACCCTTGCTTATATATGTAGAATATTTTGTACCCTCTGTATTAGTCTTTCAAAGATGTTATCCTTGTGAGGTTTAGACCGGTGGTATGTGAGGTCCAAAAGGTTGGCGACCGTTGGTTTAGAGCAGCCATGGGCAAACTACGGCCCGTGGGCGGCATCCGGCCTGTTTGAAATGAATAAAACTAAAAAAAAAAAAAAAAAAAAAAAGACCGTACCCTTTTATGTAATGATGTTTACTTTGAATTTACATTAGTTCACACAAACACTCCATCCATGCTTTTGTTCCGGCCCTCCGGTCCAGTTTAAGAACCCATTGTGGCCCTCGAGTCAAAAAGTTTGCCCACCCCTGGTTTAGAGCATACCTTTTTTTCTGCAGCCAGAGGCCTAACTCCTTTCAGAGGGAGCACCACTGTTAGTTGCAATACTTGGAGGTTGTAATTTTAAGGGCCTGAAGCCAACGATAATCTCTTAACTGCCTCTAATCTTGCTAACTTTTCTAAAAGGAATCTATGGTCATCTCTAAAGAGCTAACTTTTTGGATACACTGTCACTGGCATGATAGAAGGCAGAGTTTTTGTACTCCACACTCAAACATGTAATCCTGTGTATCATCACTTAGTTCTTAACTCAAGCTTATGAAAAATTTTAGCCAACAAATCATTAACCTGTGTTATTTTAAATATGTAAAGCAATTCTAGAGACTTCTTATGTGAAACCGATTCTCTGAGTTTTATTATGACACAAAACCCAGAGATTTAAACTTGAACTTTTTTTCTCCCTTGAGATTTTTATCCTATTAAGACTGTCACCTTTCCACACACAGAGGGAGCTAAGAGCTGGTAAGAACCATATTTAGCTCCCATTAGACTATGTATGTGTGTTTGGGGAGAAGGGTAGTGGAGCTCTTTAGGAAATTTTGGGCAGAGAACTCCAATTTTAAAAATCAATACAAGGTAGAAGGCTGCATTGGCATGATACAATTCTAGTAATCTCATCCACCATAAAGTAAATAATGTAGAATAAAAAGGTTATGCAACTATTATTCTATTTTGACAAGCATTTCCTATGAGCCACTTTAAGAGTTATTCCAACTTATTCTTTTTTTTTTTAGGTTGAATACTGTTTATAAATATACTTCAAATAAAAAAACTAAAAACTCAAGTCCATTCCATAAAATAAATTATTCCACGCTCACCCAACAGTGCCATTTTAATCTCAATTTGTATCTTTGGACCAAACCATCTTATAAATGACTTTAATTGTACTTCATATGTCTCAGTATTTTCTTTGTAAGTCAGTTCTAGAATTTTTGAATCAGCATTTTAATGCTCTGTGAAAGACTGAAAGTTTGACACATCTTAACAAACCCCTGATTTAGAGTTATGGAGAAAGGGGGTGATCTAATGTACATAATGTCTTCTGGAACCTCAGAGAGGAGTCAGCATGGGGCTGACCCTCTGCCTCAAGCCATCCAAAGAAGTCACAGGCAAAAAGATCCAAAAACACGCCACCAAAGGGCTGTTACCAAGGCCCAGGAAAACTAAACCCCACTGGAAGGGAGAGCAATTATTTCAAAAACAAAGGCAAGACCGGAAAAGGAAGAGGGCAGAGTAATCCAGCAGGGAGAAATGAGAAGTTCACAGAGCAAAGGGAAACGAAGGAAAGTCTGACGAAATAGGAAGCATAGAAGAAATTGTAAATGCATTAAGCTTGTCCGCACACCATAATGGGTCCAACAAAAAAAATTTCCATTTAAACACAGCAACCACAAGGGATATGTACTAAAATGTAAAATCAAGAAATAATCCACACCCAAAGAAAAGAAGTCAACCAAATTTACCAAAAAAAAGTCAAGGAATATAGACAGAATTGAGCAATACACAAACTAGCCAGCAAGGGGAGCCCCAACACTGTTTTTAAAAAATCTAATGTTTGAAGGATTTTCCTTTGCCTTTTTTCCTGAGGGCAATCTTATCTAATACTGCATGTTTAATATTTTCAGTATGTTTTTATTGGCAGATTTCATTCAGAATACAAAACTACCAGGAAGTTAAATTAACCATGAGCTTTTGTTTAACAGCACACAATTCAAGTCTACACCTTGATGGAGCCCTATGTGAGATAAAAGATATGCAATAGTGTCTAGGTTTTAATTCCTTGGCATCGCTTTTCATCTTAAATTCAAAATACAAAATGCAGGCTTGGGTATTTGTCTCTATGATGTTAATTAATCACAAAGTGTTAAAATACATTTGAACTGTGGTTTTTTAAATGAACATTTCAAATGTACATAAAATTATTGCAAACCATAACTATATAACTACTACTAGTTTTTGAAATGGATTAATTACTGTGGGATAGATGAAAATTTAAAACAAAGTCTTTAGGCTAATAATAAATCTACAAAGCACTTAAGTGCGTGCTTATTTTGCTGGGCTTCTTAGGAGAGAATAATTTGAATTGGGACCATTATGATAGCTCTGACTATATTACCTACAGGTTTTATTTTTTCATGTCATATTTACTTATGTCTCTCTCACAGTACACATCATTTTCTCTCTTACTGTATAGATCTGTTTCTCTCCATTAAAAATGAAGCACTCTGACTTCGTAACTTGCACAAAGAGTCCTCAATGAACAGCTTTAGAATGAATGTAAATATGATAGACAGGAGCGCTGGGCATGGCCCATCTCCATCTCTATCTAGCAATGTGACTAGACAAGTCACCTCATCTTTCTGGTTTTAGTTGGCTCATTGGTAATGATAGACATTACATAAGATGTCTAAACCTTTTCCAGCTTGAAAACAACAACAAAAAGTCCTTCAGTTTCAGATATCACTCTTAAGGAAATACCAAATCACACATAAATCTTTCATTCTAGGCTTTATCTCCTTTAAACAACATCAGATCCACAAATAGCCATGTTTTCTGAAAAAACAAAAATGTCTCCCCCTTTCTTTTTTAAGTAAAAGAACTGTTTTCAAGAAAGTTTCCATTTAGCCCTCCTTAACTTCCAGAATTTAAAACAGAGTAATATGAGGGACTTTTGTTTTGTTTTGTTGTGCAACCATACTTATTTTCAGTTAAAAAATTTAGAAATATATGAAATAATAAAATTTCTTTAATAACTAACCTGCCAAAATATACATATCATTACAAATAAGACAACTGGAAAAGCATTCACAGTTGAATTTTGACCAGAAATCACAGCAAATGTTTTAAATACATATTTTCTATGTATTACATATATAACACACTTAGATTTTAAAAAGTATTATTGCCCTGGCCGGTGTGGCTCAATTGGTTGGAGTATCATCCCATACACCAAAAGGTCATGGGTTTGATTCTAAGTCAGGGAACATACCCAGGTTGTGGGTTCGTTCCCCAGTCGGGGTATTTATGGGAGGCAAATATCGAGGTTTCTCTCTCTCTTCCTTCCCCTCTCCCTAAAATCAATTTTTAAAAAATAAAAAAGAAATAATAAAAAACTATTGGGAAATATATCTCCCTATTGTGTTTGCATTGTGTTGATATCTCACATCTCACTTCTCTTCCCTGTAAATCATACTCTCCATTTCATTTGACATTACTTTTATCACTATGTATGTATCTTGAAGTAAAATGTTTAAAATATGAACTAATAGAGACTCAACTATGTGGTATGTAACTCTAAATAAATTATATTTATTTTATTTTCATCTCTTAAGCTATTTAAAATATTTAATGACTTAAATATATCAACTAGATGTCCTCAATTCTCATTTGTACATTTATTCTCAGGCAAAGTTACCATTCTTAAATATTATATAGATAAACTTACACTAAAAAAAGTAGAAGGCATTAAAAATCAAAATGTGCAAGTAATTTGCAAAAAAAAAAACCCAAAATGAGGAGACAAGTGAATTCTCTTCATTTTTAGAAATTTCTCAATGTTAACTTTATTTTCAGCATGCCAACCTAGGATCAGCCATGGCACATCATAACTACCTTAAAAATCTCATACAGGCCTGGCTGGCTCAGTGGCTGAGCATCAACCTATGAACCAGGAGGTAACGATTAGATTCCTAGTCAGGGCACGTGCCCGAATTGCGGGCTCACTCCTCAGTGAGGGGTGTGCAGGAGGCAGCCAATCGATGATTCTCTCTCATCACTGATGTTTCTATCTCTCTCCCCCTCTCCCTTCCTCACTGAAATCAATAAAAATATATTTTAAAAAATCTCATATAGTAAGCACAGACAATGAAAGACCAAAGTCTAAAAGCATTTCATTCAGATGTGGGAGCAAGCAGAGATAATCCAAATGTGCAAAACCCAGATTTTTGTAAACAAGTAAACAAGCCAAAAAAAAACTCGAGCAAAAAAAAAAAGAAGAAATTATTGTAAAGCTCTGTCCAAATTCAGAATATTCAAAATAATTAAAAGACGTTGGACAAACTGCTGGAGAACAATACACACGCACTTTTCTGGACTTCCCTTTCCAGGTTTACTCAGTATCTCTTTCATTGGGCATGCAAGTGAACATAGCTCTATCTTTAGCTGCACAGAAATTAGTGCTCAATATATTAATTGGCTTATTAATAAGCACATTGAAGAGAAGGTACAAAGCCACCTACCATTGTCACTGTCTCCTTCAGATGGAACACTGTAGCTAGAGTTGTCCCATGTTTGTGCCTGTGTAAGTGTGTTGAAGGAGATAGGAGGAAGAGTGAGGGCTGGGTCTGCAGGAGAGCGAGAGAGCCAGTCCACGTATAGTTGCACAAGGACCAGGAAAAACCAAAGGGGCAGCAGCATTCCACAAATGGCACAAGGATTATATGGAAATGAAGTGAATTTCATATTATGGAATTTAATTTCAAATGTACAATATAGGAAAATAATGAAAGATGGTGTATGGAATAAAAAGAATGATAAAAACTGAGTGTTAGTACTTATCAATCATATACTTCACATGCAGTTAATATCATTAATCTTAATAGTTCCACAAGCCCACAGACTTCGAGTACTAATGAATCATGTCAGCAGAAAAAGAGAGTACCCACAGATTATAGATAAAAAGCAAAAGATCCTTTTCAGAGACTTTCTAAATAACTAACAATCTTAGCAAATATGATTCACACAAAAAATTTGGTTACATAGTACAAAATATGGGTAGCTGTATCTATTATTTAACAATAAAACTATTATAGAATCAGTGTTTATTATTGTGAAATTTTTTCACAAGGCAATATAAAATTTCTTTTTAAAGACATCTAAGTCTACTAGCATGCTTTATTGATAGGTGAATCTAGCTAACTCTTTGTTCAACACTTGACATACACACATTTAAATACTGTCTTCAATATTTGTTCATATAAAAACAATTCTGGGTACTAGTAGAGTCTCTTTAACAACAAATCTCATTAACCAATAAATGTCACACAACTGCAAGCATTCTGAGTTGGTTATTTTTGAAATGATAACATCTTTCTTTGCACTAAATATGCATATAGTAATTATATGTTTATGAAATAGTTAAATGAACTATAACTAGAAAATGTTATGCAATTATAAGGCAGGGCCAGTAAAATAAGTGGACACGGTTCTAGGAATAAATATTTAGTTATATGCGGCTGTCTTTCTTTGGAGGAAAACACAGGAGAGAGAAAAATGTTCTTTGAAGTAAACTACTAATCTACTTTAAAAATATAAGTTCTTACTCCAACTTGCTGATTTTATCAGTCTGTTTTTATTTATAACACAGAAATCACATAAATCCATATATTGAACTTTAAGATAAAAATCATTTGGCTTTTAAAAGTCCCAAAGATACTCAATCAAAAAAAATATTTCTTTCTTTTTAAATTATATCATGTTCAATTAAGATTACTGTATATATTATTTTCTAGAAAATATTAAAAGTACATACTGTAATATTTTAATATTATTAAATAAAATGAAAAAAATCCCAATACATAATTCTAGTTTTATAAAGTTCCAAAATCCACTTGATGTTCTGAAGATAAATCAGCTTTATTTACAGCAACCAAACTCCACCGAGCTTTCAACAACTAGAACAATTTCCACATTAGTTAGTCAGCATTATAGAAGGGTTGAAATTGGAGAGGACATTGTCTTTGTTTTCTGCTATTCAAAATAAATACCCTTTTTATTTTTCACGACTACAAAGAATTTGAAATGGTTTAACAGTAAAGTACAATGTTGATAACCTGAGTTTTGATTCCATACAAGGAAATAAAAAAGTCACTGAGAGCCAAAACCGGTTTGGCTCAGTGGATAGAGCTTCAGCCTGCAGACTGAAAGGTCCCAGGTTCGATTCCGGTCAAGGGCATGTACCTTGGTTGCGGGCACATCCCCAGTGGGAGATGTGCAGGAGGCGGCTGATCGATGTTTCTAACTCTCTATCTCTCTCCCTTCCTCTCTGTAAAAAATCAATAAAAAAAATATTAAAAAAAAAAAGTCACTGAGACAATTTTACAATTAAATTGCAATATTCAAAAGAATATTATTTTTTAAAGATCTATTCAACTTTGATTTAATCAATTAGAAAATATTTATTTTATGATTGTATAAAACTGCTTTGTAAGGATTAGGGGAAAGTCTGTAGCCTAATATGAGGTCCTCAGTGTGTGGCGATCACTCAAGGCACGGATGACATATACCCTGAGTGACCGCCATTCCTCTTAGCACACACTGAGACCATGAAAATGGATGCTGGCCCAGATCTCAGTTCCAAAAATGAGGAGGCTATTCATTTGAACTTATTTTGTAATTAAAAAAAACAACACTTTTCTATAAAATGCCTACTAACAATCTTTACCACACCCAAGCATTTTCTCAAATAGCTTTGTCTTACAGCCCATTCAAAATGCCAGGGAAACCATTACATCTGGCCACAGGATGACCATCAACCAACTTGCTTCCAAAACAAAATCCTTTATAAAAGAATTATCTTTGTTTTCTTTATGGGTAGCCTTTTTCAAAATATACACATGTGTAACTTCAATTGTTGCCAAAATGCTTTACTGAAAAATCCAATGATATTTGAGTTTTTTTTTACTAGCTTTTGCTTAAAAGTGTCTGAGTTATTTTCTAGTACTTAGTTAAAAGCATTAGTAGTGAGAATATGCAAAAGATCTAAGAATCAAAAATATGAAAACAAAGAGGGACCTAAAAGAAGGTAGAAAGTGCCAGAATTTTAAATACGTGGAGAAATCAGAAGAACCAAATTTTTCTATACATAATCCTTCTTTTTAAAATCAACATTCAGTCTGTACATTGCTATAATTTACATTTGTGGATATACTAATAAGAAATTAGAAGAAAGTAGGTAATATAAGCAAAAAGGCTCTTTAAGAAAGACTCCTGGCCAGTTATATGAGCCTTGAAATGATCTATCACCCTGTTATACAAGTAAATACACAGGCCCTACACCAGTGATGGCGAACCTTTTGAGCTCAGCGTATCAGCATTTTGAAAAACCCTAACTTAACTCTGGTGCCGTGTCACATATAAAAAATTTTTTATATTTGCAATCATAGTAAAACAAAGACTTATAGTTTTGATATTTATTTTATATATTTAAATGCCATTTAACAAAGAAAAATCAACCAAAAAAATGAGTTCACGTGTCACCTCTGACACGCGTGATATAGGTTCACCATCACTGCCCTACACCAAGGCTCAGAATACCAATGAGGGATGTCTCAGAAAGGAAGTCACCCTCACAGAAACCTTTCTTTAACTTATCAGGAACCATTGGGGCAAAGGGCTAGCTATTTTATCTTCCCTGGGTTAAAAAAACTTAGTCAAGCCCAGCTAGTGTGGCTTGGTGGTTGAGCGTCGACCTATGAACCAGGAAGTCATGGTTTGATTCCTGGTCAGGGCACATGCCCAGTTTGTGGGCTTGATCCCCAGTGTGTGTGTGTGTGGGGGGGGGGGGGGGGCAGAGAGTGGCAGGGAGGGGGCGGGGGCACCAATCAGTGATTCTCTCTCATCATTGATGTTTCTATCTTTCTCCCTCCCTTCCTCCCTAAAATCAATACAAATATTTTTTTAAAAAACTCAATAGAATATTTCTTTCCCACTTATATGTCCCATTACCTTTTTCCTCTTCACTGATGTCAGTAATAGATCTCTATTACTATTAATAACTGAATCACTAAAAACAAGGTTCCAAATCTGGTCTTCCCAAGCTGTAGCCAGGTTCTGACACCAGGACTGAAACTCACCAGAGTTGACAAGGCTGTGCACATTTAGAAGGCTAAAGAGAAACCACTGAGTTGTTTACAACTTTAAGAATGTTGAGGCTTTAGTTTACCTGATCGAGGCTTCAGGCCAAACGGAGCTGTACTGCTGGTGGTAGGAGAGATTGCAGGGGAGTTTTCTCTAATCTGTGTTGTTACAAGGAAAGGAAATTTTGTAAAAAACTGAAGTAGAACTATGCATGTTTCTCTATGCTCAAGGATTTTAATAAAACCACAACCTTTTGAATTTGCTGCTGTGTGAAGTCTTGACTAAATAATATGAAAATCAATGCAAATGCTTTGAGTGGCATAATCAACAGAAGGTTATTTTGGGGGAGAACCATTCAATTTTTTATTTGATCATTATAAAAATACTAGAGGCCCAGTGCACAGATTCATGCACTGGTGGAGTCCCTTAGCCAGGCCTGCACCCTCTCACAATCCAGGACCCCTCAGGGGATGTTGGGCTGGTGGTTTCGGCCCGATCCCCACAGGCTAGCTGAAACTGGCAAGTCCCACATCCCCCGAGAGATGTAGTAGTGTGCTAAGAGGCAAGCGCTACCACTCCTGCTCATCCTGGCCCTGCTGCGCCTACCACTGGTAGCGCTGCTGCGGAGGTGGGAGAGGCTCACACCACTGCAGCTGTGCTCACCAGCTGTGAGCCCGGAGTCTGGAGCCATCAGCTGAGCAGTGCTCCCACTGTGGGAGTGTACTGACCACTAGGGGACAGCTCCTGCATTGAGCGTCTGCCCCTGGTGGTCAGTGTGTGTCATAGCAACCGGTCAAACTGTTGACTGGTCAAACAGTTGACCAGTCGCTTAGGGTTTTATATATGTAGATTTTACAATCAAGTGAAACTGGCAATCTTTTTCTGCCCCAGAATGGATGTGTTCACGGACTTGCATGCACACACACAGGCACACACTCACATCCACCTCACAGAGAGCACATCTGATAAAGACTCATAACACTGAACACACCTCTCATCTACAGCAGCGGTGGGGAACCTTTATTCCACCAAGAGCCATTGGGATATTTATAACAGTATTCGCTAATGTAATTCACTTAATATAAATTTATGTTGTTATAAAAAACATTCCAAGATTTATTGAATTTTGAGCCCTGCCTGTGGTTGCCTTGGCAGGGCAAAACCAAATGATTTCCTGGGCTGTCCTTATATGGCCCTTGGGCCAGATGTTCCCCATCCCTATCTATAGGCAAACCACTCACCGAATCACTGATGGAAAACTAGACGTTCTATATGTTGCATATTTGAACTATTTTCATTTTTTTTTCTATAAAGATGTTTCCATGTTTGGTTTCAAAATATATCTTCTACAATTAATCATTATTTATGGATAGGGCCAGTTAAGGCTCTGAAAGCTAATGAGATCGATTCCCATATAGAATCTGCAATACAATTAATTCATTAATCATGACAGTCTTAGACTACATATTTCTATAAAAGGTATTCCAATTCAGGCTTCAAAGAATACATCAGCTTTTATTAATCTTCAAGAAACTTACCTTATTTGGAGAATATTCACTCCCATTACTCTGTGATGTTATATTATTTTGCACCTTAAAGAAAAACAAAAATGCATGGTATGTTTCATTAGACTATAAAATTATGGAGGCAAGAACTATGTCTTTCTTACTTCCATCTTATCCCTGGCACATAGGCACTCAATGATTATATACTGAATTAATTAATTCGTGTGTTAAGTACCTAAGTAGGTTTTACTTACATTTTCTAAAAACATGCAGCTATATTCACAGAAAAATACATCTAAGGTATCACATAAAGTAAGCAAAAGAATTTGCCAGAGCAAAGACGCCAGCCCAAACCACCTGTGAAGGTCAGCCACCTGGAGGCTTCCACCCCCATCTTAACTACAGGTTTTTAGAAATGGTTCAAGGCGGTAGTTCCCAAATATACAGAATCTCATTGGGAGTTTTTCATACTGCCAGGATCCCAAACTACCTGGGAAACTCTTATGCTGTCAATTCAACATCAGTTTGCTTTCACAACAAAAGCTTACTTTACTCAGATCTACCTTCTTTATATGGTAATCAAAAACCCCACTGATGCACCTCAATAAAAAATTTGGTGATGGCTAATATCAATATCTTCCATAGAGACTACACCAAATTAGTATACATTTAAGATATCTTTTCATAGTCCTTTGTTGAGGAGTGAGTGCTATTAAAAAATATTCCCAACTTTGACAAATACAAGAATAAAACATATTTTTAGAATAAATCATCATTAATTTTCCTACCCAATTAAGTGGATTTATTAGAATTGTTCAAAGTAACTTTGGGTTTGATTCTCTCCATAAGCAACTCCTTCCTCTAATTTTTCCTATTGTTCCACCCCCCAATTCAATATTATTTCTGTATATAAGAATGTTATTTGCAATTCTTTCTGAATGGATGTCAATGCTATTCAAACAAGATATGGACAATTTTCTAAAGTATATTCATGGTGAGATAAGATGTGCTGCCAATTATAAACCACTTCATAATCTTAGCCTCACCTATCTAACTGGCACCACCCACTCCTCATTGTCCTGTATCCACCATGGCTATGCTGCCTCTTTCAGCACAGCCTCCTGGGACCAAATTCAAACCCAACTGCTCCCCAGATCTAGGTTACTTTCTTCTCCTTAAACTCCATCCCTTCCCCCACCCCCCAGACCACCTAGAACACTGAGGATTACAAATCATCTCGTAGTCTTCTCTAAATTGTGTCAATATACAAGGCTTCTTTCCTCCACAATTTTTAACATGCCTTAAAGTAAGGGCAACTTCATATCCTTCATATAGAAGTCCTTGACAACAAAAGCAAGGCTGAATCCAGCACAGTACTCAACAAATACTAATTCATTCAAGATTATGCTAAAGATATTGCTTTATTCCTGAATGAGATGGAAGAGAGAATATAAAAATAGCCAACTCATGAATGAAGATCACATTTAAGTTCTGCACAATCATTAGCACTAGCTAATCCACTAATTTCTTTTTTTTTCCCCTCCTCTTTGTGACTTCCATTTTCCATCAGAACCAGCTAATACACCTTCCCGTTTTTAAAATCATGGAGATATGTCTGTCACAAACACAGAATTGCCCTAGAAAGGGAAGAAAATTAACAACAATTTCTTATACCAAACGAACCCTCATTCAACCAAAAACAATGTAAATTAACACAAACAATGTAAATCAGAGATGGAGTGGGGATAATTTTTTTTCTAGAGGTTTTGTGTATTCCTGGTAACTCCTAAAACCAAGTACAGAGGTGGGCCTCTATGTTACTTGAGTCAACAGTGGGTTTGCAGCAGGATACTAACATGGCTTCCAAATACCTCTTCACTGACTGCTCATTGGTTACAAAGATAAAATAGAACAGAAATTATACAGTGAAGTCCCCTTGACTGGGCGATCGAATTAGCATCACCACTGAGGCCCAGATGGACACAGTGTGCCCCCAAATGCGATACCGTCAGAACACAACATCTCCTAAAAAAGGAGAAACTTAATCTAATCATGAAGAAATATAAAGGACCTTTGTTCCTCAAAATAAGGGGCATCCTATTAAAAAAAAAATGAGGAAGGCTATATTCTTCAAAATGTCAAGGTCATAAAAATCAAAGAAAGCTTTTGGAAATGTTCCAGAATAAGGAAAACTATAGATACCTGACAACTATCTGCCTCTAGACTGAATACTACACTGGAGGGGGGAAAATCCACTATGAATGACATTAGATCAGCCTAAATATTTGGAAAATGGATGGTAGATTAACATTTATCTAAAGTTGATAACTGTAGTTATTATATAAGACAAAATCCCTATTCTTAGAAAACATACACTGAAATGTTTAGTAATAAGGAACTAAGACGTATACAACTTACCCTCAAATTTTCAAAAAAAGAGCAATGTATGTGAAGACAGAGACAGAGAATAAATAAGACTGCAAATGTGGTAAAATGTTAACCACAGGTAAATCTGGGTAAAAGGTTGTAGGTTTTTGTAACCTTTTGTAGAATCTGTAATTTCTCCCCAAACTTTAATAAGGTTACAGTATTTCCAAATAAGCAGCTTGAAAGAAAAAAAGAAAGGAAGGAAGGAAGGAAGGAAGGAAGGAAGGAAGGAAGGAAGGAAGGAAGGAAGGAAGGAAGGAAGGAAGGAAGGAAGGGAAAAGTGGTGCCCTAGCCAGGTAGGCTTAGCTAGTTGGATTGTCGTTCACCAAAAAGGTTGCAGGTTGGATCTCAGTCGGGGCATACGGGAGACAACCGATCCATGTTTCTCTCTCTCTCTCTTCCTCTCTCTCTCAGATCAATAAAAACATCCTTGGGTGAGGATTAAAATACACACACACACACACACACACACACACACACACACAGGCACACACACACAGGCACACACACACACAGGCACACACACACACAGGCACACACACACACACACACTGGGCAGCATGTCTTGAAAGGAGCTTGATGAAATGGGCCCAGGGCAGCTTCCTGACGCTGCACTATTGGGTAATTCTATGAGCCTCCACTCAAGGAAGGAGGTGATACAGTGATTCTGTCTAAGGACCATGCCAGGAACAATATACAGTAGTGGAGTAACAGTACCAGCTACCATTTAGGTGTCCTGGGCTGTAAAACAATCCCAGTTTACAGAAAATGAAGGTGAAGATTAGAGAAGTTACACATAGTCGCCCCTAGTCAGCAAGTCTTTGATATGTAACTGAAACAACATAATTCTAAGTCACCGTGCTTAACAATGAAACCATAGGCTCTGGCTCTGGGAACATAGCTGTTTCAACCGCAGTTCTCTTCCCCCTTATTTAACACAGATCCGTAGCTAGTTGAGAGTGTGAAAGTGCTTTACTACAGTACCTGTTCAGACACCTCAGGGGACATAAATCAGTTTGTACCACAATTAGCCATCCTAAACCCATTCACTGAAAAGGGATGAAATAGGTTGTAACCTGTTTCACTCTCGAGTCACCTCTCTCAACTGTTTCTCCCTCTCTAGGACTGTTTCTTTGATACCTTCTAGGCCAGTGGTTCTCAACCTCCTGGCCCTTTAAATACAGTTCCTCATGTTGTGACCCAACCATAAAATTGCTTCCGTTGCTACTTCATAACTGTAATGTTGCTACTGTTATGAATCGTAATATAAATATCTGATATGCAGGATGGTCTTAGGCGACCTCTGTGAAAGGGTCGTTCGACCGCCAAAGGGGTAGCGACCCACAGGTTGAGAACCGCTGTTCTAGGCTCATCTCTAGTTTTCTGTCAAAACTGCTTTATTCAACAACCCAATTTCACCCAATGTAACTTTACTCTTACTCTGTCTGCAAACATCCCTACCACTTTCGCTTTGCTATGTTCTTTTTTTTATTGTTTAAAGTATTACAGATAGTATTACATATGTCTCTCCCCTCCCCCCCCCCCCCCCGCCCAATTGACCTTCCCCCAGCCTCCCCTACCCCCGGCACATGCCCTCACCCATCCCCCCCACAAAGTCTTGTGTCCATTGGTTATGCTATGTTCTTTTAATCCTCCTAGGACATAGGCATTTCCCAAATCATATTCTTGTTTTTCAAGTCCATTCTAGCTAATTTGCATCTGGCCAGTTCATAGGTTTCATTCGTGGCTCTAAAATCTACATTGACTGGTCCTACTTCCAGTTTCTGACACAGAGCAGGTTCCCTATGGATCTTAGTTGCTGTCGCCTGACTGAGCAAGAGTGACACACACAAAAATTTAGAGAATTTCATGGAAACCTTATCTCTAATGGAAGGTGAAGTATAATAGATAAACAGGAAAACTAAAGAGGGTAAAAAAAAATTGAAAACCAGATCTTGAACTAGTCTGCCTTAGGAATGTTCTACCCCAGGACCAATCTTCACAGAAGGTGGCAGCCACCATTCTATGGCAGAACACTGCACGCAGCTCTGCTGAACCCAAGAGCAGCCTTACCTCACACACCGGAGATGGCTCCAGCTGCATTTGACCACTGTAGGTATGAGGAGGGAAAAAGATATAAAGTGGAATTTAAAGCACACATACTTCAATGTAAAAAGAGAAAACATTGAATTTAAAAAGTTCAACATACTTCAGTGCAGAATCTTGTAATTCTAAGGCTTCTGCTGATTCCTTTGGATAAAAGTTTACCACATTTTTCTCTGTTATATCGGTGCTTAATCTAAAGAGTGGGGGGGGGGGGGAAGATGTTAGCAACTTATTAAAACTTTAATAATCCTACTGCTTTTGGTCATATTTAGTTTAAAATTTTAATATATTAAAAATTATGTTTACCATTAGGACTAAGTAATGAAAGGTTTATGGTAAAAATTTCAAACTACATGGTATGTTCCAATCATGTGCCAAATTTAATATAATTTTCTGACTGCTCTTTGTCAAAATTCAACTTATTCGCAATATACCAGTAATTTCTGATAGTCATAATATTCATAGGTAGTACACAATAAATTTTATTCTAGAATTTGATTAAGTTACAGAAGCAAGTAAAGTTGCTAAGGATTCTGTATTATGGTATATGTACAAAGGGCCCTTAGTTTTAAAAGGAAGATCCCTCTGATCTACACTAATACCCTCATTAAAAATAAAAGAATTCATAAGCAATTTGATATGCATTTTTTATTTTTGAAAAGGCCTTAGTTTCTGAATTTCTTCAATTTTAAAACCAGAAATTTCTGTAAGTTATATAAAACTTACAAAGCTATCTTAAAAGGTAGGAATGAGTTCATAGTATAGATGCCTATTAAAAATGCTATAAAATCAACAATCAGAAGTCCTTAAGAAAAGAAACCAAGATAAAGGCAAAATAGAATAATAACTTACAAAAGTCTCAATCTATGAAATACGAGCTAAAGAAAAAAATGCAATATAAAGTTTTTGTTACTAATATTCAGTCCCAAGCGGCTAGAAATAAATGACCTCTTGAAGTGTCCTCTTTTTATCTAGATCACAGAAGCATTATTATAAAGTTAGAATTATCTTTATAATTATTTCAGGATGAACAATAAAGATCTAAAGCAGCCAAAGTAGTGAATTATTTGAGGGAGGAAATGAAATCCATGTAACACTGTACAACATAATATAATTTTAAAATATCACCCATAAAGATGCAAATCAACTATCACTTGGAAGTTTGCTCCTACAATTAGGCAAACACTCCCCATTCCCACTTGCTCAACATCCTTGGTAACTCATTGCCTCAGACATTTCCAAGCCGGACAGGAAGAATCCCACAATTCTCAGTTCATCCCACTTCTCATGAAGGATGGCAAAATTGAGGTCAAGAAAGGAATCTACTCCCTCTCTCCAGGTCACTTGGATCTTACTCCTGGGTTCCAGTCTCATATTCCCATGCCACTGCTATTTCCACCTAAATAGACTGCTCTTTTTTGCTTTGGGCTCATATATCAATCAATCTAGAACTTGTAATAAAATTTCATTGGGAGAGTGATACAAGATGTAAAAGGTAGAAGTATGAAAACAGTATAAAGTGTGAGCCTGTGAGCCCAGTGTGGCCTTCTCTGTCACGTCCTGTCTTCAATGCTCTGTCCTGGGCTCACATTCCCTTCCCATCCATTTCCTGCCCTGGAGAACCTCATCCTCTTACGCGGTTTCTGTTACTTCAGCACCTTGTGAAAATGACTTTCCAATCTAACTCTCAAAGTCCCAGAACTAAATATCTAGCAGCTGAATGTACATCGCCACATTGCTGATTGGGTATTATTCAGCACATCTTAAGCTGACCTCAACATCCTCTTCAAACCTGCTGTCCCTCCTGATTCCCCATCTCAGAAATGCCAGGGGCTCAGCTCTAAAACATCTTGGACCGTTCCCTCCCGGCCTTCTCACCACCCACTTCATGTAATCATCAAAGAACTACAATAGTACTTACCACTGACTACGTATAATATATACAAGTATTAAAAGTCTTTAGAAACACCTGCAAAAAAATCTCCATCATAATATACTTCCAGTTTTAATTTTTTCTTAGCTTCTTACACATTTGAAACCTAATTCTATTTATATTATTAGGATGAAACTTTAAGCATTTTATATACTTTTTTAAAATTAGCATTACATAGTGAGCATTCTAATACTGGAAACTTTAATAAACATTTTATTGGATACATAATATCCCACCTTATTAATAACCAAAATATATTTCCTTTTTTCCAAATATTTGCTATTAAAATACCTCCCCCCTCACAATCTTTGCTCAAATCCTTTAGCCCCTTAGGATAAATTTTTAGAATTCTTTTAAATAAATGGTTTCTATATTTTTTAAACCACAACTACATACTACTAGGATGCCTTCTGGAATGGTTTTGCCAATTTACCTTCCCACCAGTAGTTTATAGTTTATATATTACTTCAAGTCCTCACAACCCTAAAAAGTAAGTACTTGTAACACACAACACACACACACACACACACTCTTTTGTCCGTTTCCTACCTTCTAATTACCTTAGTTTAGGATACGAAACTCAGCTCTCTAAAGAGCATGCCTTGATCAGGCACTTAATAAAAAGCTAAGCCTGAAACAATGATTAGAAAGAATTAGCAACATGAATAACCATATTTTTTATCCATCATTATCTTCCCTGCACATAATAAAATAAAGTCTCAGCTCCGCAACAGCATTCAAAGTCAACCCCTGCCCCACTCCAAATGTCCCCCAGGTGATTCTCAGTGCTGGCTGTACATCAGAGGCACCAGCATTACTTTTATAAAGTGGAAATGGCCAGAACCCAAACTCACAAGTAATGTCAAGGGTGTCTCTTTTGAAAGTTCCACAAGTGATACTGAAGCATGGCCAGGGTGGAGATCATCTTACCTGCCTGAGGTTTTTAAAACTTGCTCCTTTCTTTTTGACCTCTTTAACTTTGCCCAAGCTTTTAATTCAATCTAGAATTTGCTTTCTCCTTGAAATTGCTAGTTACTAAAGGTTAATATCCAAACTTTTAGGAAGGCTGGTCTAGCTAACTCCCTTTTTTCATCTGGTGTCAAGTGACACTCTATCAATTTTAAAACAAGTTAATCAGTTACATTTACAATAACTACTCAAGGCAATCTCCATCTACTATAGTTTAAGTTCATCTTTATATCCCTCAAGATGCACACTGTAGTTCTCCCTATGCTCTAAGCACTCAATTAATATCTGTAGAATCAAAATGCTTTCCAATCAACAGCTAAAGATTTTCAGTCATACTCAATCTGACCCATCACTATTTTTTCAAGGCCTGACAACACTGGTGGTGTACACTCACTAACCACCTTTTCCTAAGTTCCCAGAACCTAGCTGAAATCAGCGTGGTGTGATTTCCACATTTACCACATTACAAAACCACATCATTTTCATATTTAAATTCCCAGGACCCCTGAAGAGTTTACCAGGAATAGGCTTTGGATCTATTTCTCTAATGACAAGGTAGTTATTACCTGATACCATGTATATTGTCTTACTGAAAAATATTTTGTCAATAGGAATTTCATTATCCTTAACTAAGTAACCAAAAAATTAATCTAATGCATGTAGTAGTTATTCACAATAGCTAATCTGATTTAAAAATCACCTTGTAGCTCAGCCGGGTGTAGCTCAGCATTAGAGTGTTGACCTAGGAACCAAGAGGTCACCGGTTCGATTCTCGGTCAGGGCATATGCCCAGATTGTGGGCTCGATCCCCAGTTGGGGGTGCGCAGGAGGCAGCCAATCAATGATTCTCTCTCATCATTGATGGTTCTATCTCTCTCTCCCTCTCCCTTCCTCTCTGAAATCAATAAAAATATATTTTAAAAAAAACTTCAAAAAAATCACCTTGTGGGCATAGGTTAACGCCGGAGTTTGCTGCCTTGAACAACTACTTCAAAAGTGAAACTAAAAGACAGAACGGACATCACCCAGAACCACAGGAACGCTGGCTGAGTGGAAGTCCTACAACTAGGAGGAAAGAGAAACACATACGGACACTCAGAGGAGGCGCAGTGCTGAAGTCAAATTCTGAGGTGCAGAGTGCGCGGAGCGGGCTGGCGGTGGAGGGCGCGATTGGCGTTTTCAATTGGGAGGGAGTCGCAGACTCTGAGCTCCAGATACGGGCGAGTCTTTAGGAACCCAGACTCAAACGGGAGAAGTGGGACTGTCTGGCTTCGGTCAGAGCAAGTGCAGCTTTCTCTCCGAGGTTTGCAGCGGTTGCTGGGACTCAGAGAGGCAGAGCCCTTGGGGACAGGACTGAGAGCCGCCATAACTGCTCTCTCCAGCCCACCCTGTTGATCCTGTGCGACCCGCCCCGCCCAAGCCCTGCACAGAGGCATTTGCCGGATAGCCTCAGGCAAAGGCTAGATTAGCACCTCCCTAGAGGACAGAAGTTCTCTCACTGCAGACACAGCTGATTCTCACAGCCACTTGGCCTGGAGGTCAAACCCTCCCTGGTATTAGCTACAACAATCAAGGCTTAACTACAAGACTGCGCACAAAGACCACTAGGGGGTGCACCAAGGAAGCATAACAAAATGCGGAGACAAAGAAACAGGACAAAATTGTCAATGGAAGATATAGAGTTCAGAACCACACTTTTAAGGTCTCTCAAGAACTGTTTAGAAGCCGCCGATAAACTTAATGAGATCTACAAGAAAACTAATGAGACCCTCGATGTTATGATGGGGAACCAACTAGAAATTAAGCATACACGGACTGAAATAACGAATATTATACAGACTCCCGACAGCAGACCAGAGGAGCGCAAGAATCAAGTCAATGATTTGAAATGCGAGGAAGCAAAAAACACCCAACCGGAGGGGTGGAATGAAAAAAGAATCCAAAAATGCGAGGATAGTGTAAGGAGCCTCTGGGACAGCTTCAAGCGTACCAACATCAGAATTATAGGGGTGCCAGAAGATGAGAGAGAGCAAGAAATTGAAAACCTATTTGAAGAAATAATGACAGAAAACTTCCCCCACCTGGTGAAAGAAATGGACTTACAGGTCCAAGAAGCACAGAGAACCCCAAACAAAAGGAATCCAAAGAGGTCCACACCAAGACACATCATAATTAAAATGCCAAGAGCAAAAGACAAAGAGAGAATCTTAAAAGCAGCAAGAGAAAGAAACTCAGTTACCTACAAGGGAATACCCATACGACTGTCAGCTGATTTCTCAACAGAAACTTTGCAGGCCAGAAGGGAGTGGCAAGAAATATTCAAAGTGATGAATATCAAGAACCTACAACCAAGATTACTTTATCCAGCAAAGTTATCATTCAGAATTGAAGGTCAGATAAAGAGCTTCACAGATAAGGAAAAGCTAAAGGAGTTCATCACCACCAAACCAGGATTATATGAAAAGCTGAAAGGTATCCTTTAAGAAGAGGAAGAGGAAGAAAAAGGTAAAGATACAAATTATGAACAACAAATATGCATCTATCAACAAGTGAATCTAAGAATCAAGTGAATAAATAATCTGATGAACAGAATGAACTGGTGATTATAATAGAATCAGGGACATAGAAAGGGAATGGACTGACTATTCTTGGGGCGGGGAAAAGGGGTGTGGGAGATGCGGGAAGAGACTGGACAAAAAATCGTGCACCTATGGATGAGGACAGTGGGTGGGGAGTGAGGGCGGAGGGTGGGGTGGGAACTGGGAGGAGGGGAGTTACAGGGGGAAAAAAGAGGAACAAATGTAATAATCTGAACAATAAAGATTTAATTTTAAAAAAAAGTTTAAAAAAAAATCACCTTGTAACCCAAATCTTTAGAAATATATTATTTAATTAACATATATTTGCCATGATCAAATAAATATGGTAGTACTACTTGGCATAATGATTCTTCCCTTTTTGGGAAATCCCCCTTGTAGTTTTATAAACAGGAATTACCATATTTCTGTTTTCTCTCTCTTTTTTTAATCCTCACTCAAGGACATTTTTCCATTAATTTTTAGAGGGTCAAGAGAGAAGGAAAGACAAAGAAATATCGATGTGAGAGAAACACATTGATTGGTTGCTTCCTGCAGGAGCCCTGACCAGGGCCAGTGGTGGGGAGGAGCCTCCAACTGAGGTATGTGCCCTTGACCGGAATCGAACCTGGGACCCTTTGGTCCGCAGGCCGATGCTCTACCCACTGAGCCAAACCAGCTAAGGCCATACTTCTGTTTTCTAAGAATTATACCAAAGATTCCCATATGAATTTCAGGAAGAGTGAATAAATTTCAGTGAAGGGTGGAGAAAGGGGGAACTGGTTTCAATCCCTATAGAAGTTTGACTCTTATTTATGGATCTTGGGAAAACAAGCACTTAGAATGGCTTCTTTATTAGTGGTTAGACAGAGCCCATACTGTGAATATAACTATCTTTATAAAGTGAGATAATGTGTTCCATGAATTAGTATGTATTATTTGCACATGAAGCCTGGGCCAAAGAAAGATATGCATACCTGTTGGGATCTTGCAGCAAATCTACTGCTTCTCTCAGCTGTTCAATCATCGCTGTAGTAATTTCCTGGTCTTTAGATGAACTTGTTCAGCAGCATGAAACCAGGCATGAGAATGAAAACCATCACAGAATATGAATATCATCTAAGTTCTTAAGAGCAAAATTACAAAAATCCATCTAACATATAAAAACTGATTTTGACCTGTCTCTCTGTGACCTTTGGCAAAATAATCTCTCTGTGCCTCAGTTTTGTCCTCTGTGAAATGGGGAACAACAAATAGAACTTAATAGGATTGTTGTAAAGGTGAAATGGGGTACCTAAAGGTGAAGTGAGGTATTTAGGATAGTGCCTGGCATGTGGTATTTAATAAATGCTAACTATTACAATTATTAAACTTAGGATCAGGGCCCTGGATTTTCTCAGATCTTAAAACTGAAGAGCCTGGGTAAAGAAAGGGGACCAGGGCTACTTTAGGTCCAGCTGTCAGCTCCTTCATACAAATGGAAGGAAGCTAGATTCTTCACTTTAGAAGTCCTATCTATTTCTCTGAATCACACATTTCTACCTCTAGTCTCAAATCTGATAAAACTTGGGGCCAAGAAAAAGGTATGACCTTGCACTGTATTGTCCTAACACGGTGACAATAAGCATTAGACAGAGGAAAACTGGCTACTTCTTATCAATATCTTTGGGTAAGAAAATCAGCTACCCAAAGAAAAGCAGACCAGAATTCTAATCACGACAGGGCTTCCATTCTGCTTAAAGCATGCAATTTACAGGATAGTGGCTCATAACTAGGCCCTCGGTACTCACATTCCCTCGGGCTGCCAGTGTATATCCTCTTCTATCCGTAACAGTTCTTCACAGTCTTCTGCCCTATCCTGTGGAAAGAACACATGGGTTTTCTGATAGCCACTGGCCATCAACAGTCAATAATCAAACGCTGACCAAGCCCATGTTCACGGCAGTACTATTCACAATAGGTAAAATGTGAAAACAACCCAAGTGTCCCACAATGAATGAATGAATAAACAAAATGTGGTCAATACATACAATGGAATATCATTCAACCTTAAAAAGGAAAGAAATCCGAGACCTGTTACAAAGCGGAGGAATCTTCAGGACATTGTGCTAAGTGAAATAAGTCAGTCACAAAAAACATACTATATGATTCCACTTTTATGAGGTACCTAGAATAGTCAAATTTATAAAGATAGAAAATAGAATGGCAATTGCCAGTGGCTTGGGAAGGGGAAGGTTTGGGGAGGTAGTATTTAATGGGTGAAGTGTTTCAGTTTTACAAGATGAAAAGAGTTCTGGAGATGGATGGTGGTGATGGCTGCACAATAACATGAATGTGCTTAACATCACTGAATTTTACACTTAAAAAATGTCTAGGATGATAAGTTTATGTTATATTTATTTTACCATAATTAAAGATAAAATTTTAAAAAAGAAAACCTAGAATAGGACCACAATACTTGTTAACTTACTGTCAAAAATTTAAAACATAATTCCTTACTGCTGTCTTAGCACCTCCTGATGTCCAAAGATTCTTCTGTTGGGCTTGTCAGTCACATGAGAATGCATTCTGGCATTTGTAAGAGGAGAAAGGTGTGTGTGTGTTTCGGAAAAAATAATGTATAAAATATTTAACAACAGAAAATGCCTCAAATGACATCTAATAGGCTTCATATATGCAACATCCAGATTTCACTGAAATTTCTGCCCCCCCACCTCCCTGATTATTTTCTCAAAGAAACATTGGTGGGAGTATTGGAAAGGTGTGTCCCACTGTTGGAACTTCCAGATGCTTCTTTCTACTTTCTTCTCTGACACAGAGAAATGCTACTCTTGCTCAGCCAACAGCTAGAACAGAAGCCACCCTGAATGAGTGTGTTTCTCTGACAAGGGAGGAACAACAACCAAAAGGACTGTTTCCTGCTTCAAGGTTCTGACACGTCGTTAACTCAGGCCCAGCCAATTCTCCAGATGTGTCACTGAGAGCGAGTCTTCTTCCAAAGAGGTGGCTTGCCACCTGATGCCAGTCTCTGGCTTGAAAAATACTCAGACATTTTCTATATTGACTATACTTTCAGTGCATAATAAAGTCAACATATAAATTATTGTGCCACACTATCCAAATGATAGTGAAATTCATGGGAGAAAATACACTACCATACATGACCAAGAAAACATGTTCATATCTTTTCTTGTTGGGCTTCAACTACAAGAGCCATGGGTATTTCCTTCTAATTTTAAGTTTCATAATAAAAAGTAGCCAATAGTATGAAATATTGGTTTTCCTTGTAGTATGCAAAATAGGTCTTACTGGGTTTCTTTTGCTAAGTTAGACAGTTACATAGTTGATCTTAATTATTTGCAAATTCCATATTTATAAATTTGCCTACTCAATAAAATTTACTTGTAACCCTGAAATCAATACTCGTGGTGCTTTAGAGTTATTCGCAGGCATGCTGAGAACTGTGAAAAATCCTGAGTTCCCGACATGCACAGTTCCAGCTGACAATGAGCAAGGAAACCCTCTACCTTCTTGTTTCAAGGTGTCATAGTGTAAACAAGTGTCCTTTAGAGTATAGTTTGTGCAACATTTTCACATTTTTGTGCTTTTTTGGGGGTGATTTCACTGTATACAATGCCCCCAAGCAAGTTGCTGAAGTGTGGTCTAATGTTCCTAAGCACAAATAGGCTGTGATGTCCTTTAACAGAGAAAACATGTTAGACAAACTTCATTTAGCCATGAGTTGGTGGTGTGGGCTGCAAGTTCAATGTTAATTAATCAACAAAACTTATTAAATAAAGTGTTTTTAAATAGAAACACACATAAATACAATAAAATCCATTAAACACAATAAGCGAGGTTATGTATTGAACATTTGACAGGGAACCTAACCCTGTATTTATACTTTGGAGCAATGGCTCAGTATTTGATAATTCAGTGTTTGAGGTGACTTTATACAACAAAGCTACCGAGAATAATGAGGATCAACTGTAGTTACAAAAACAAAAGATGCTAATTCAGTGAAGGAGAGAAAACAGGGTTATATAAAACACAACTCTGGCTCCTCAAGGACTGAGTGGTCGGCACATTGTTGGCTGTCATGTACACTCTCACAGGTTTTTAAAGGGATGCAAGTCAAGGCTGAAAGAGGGCTGGTTTTCAATGTATGACTTTTCATTGTAGATTTAGTTTTATTTTACTAGTAGTAGTTCTTTGCTCACGTTTTCAAGAGAAGCCTCTTGCAGGAGCGGACATTTGCAGAATAGGTTTCTATATCCCTATTTACTCCCCTAGACTCTACCCTCAGGGTCCATTCTGTAGAGCAGCCATTTCCACAAAGCCCTTTGCTTCCTAAAATCTCTGAATCTAGGGAAATTTGCTTTTGTGAAACAAAATGCTTTATTTTATTAACTGCTTTGATTGTTTTCCTTCAGAGTTTCCATTTTTACTTTAGATTTTCAACTTAAGATAAACTCTTCATAAAATAAAGATGAAAGCCCACTTTTCCATATTTTATGACAGGCTTATTCCAGAGCTAATAGATAGGGGTCAAATCTGGGAGAGCCTTGTGAAAACTACTGGCCTCAGAGCAATATCATTAGATTTGCACTGTAGGAGAATGGCTGGTGGCAGAACAAGTGTGTGCGCACACGTATGTGCATGCAGGAGGCAGGACGGTGAGTGAGAAGTTTGGGTAGGTGGGACTCTTGCAGTCATCAGAATTAGAAATGATAAAACTTAACTAAAGCAACATCAATAGAGGTAGAGGGCACAAATGAGGCAGTGGCTGTGAGATATTTTGAAACAAGAATTGATGGTTTAGATATAAAGAGTTAAGTATTTCTGTGTTTCATCCTTCTACAGGCATACCTCGTTTCATTGCATGTCACTGTATTGAACTTTGCAGATATTGGATTTTTTTTAACAAATCGAAGATAAGACTCTCCACTAGGAAAAAGATTATGACATACTGAAGGCTCAGATGATGGTTACAACTTTTTAGCAATAATGTATTTTTAAATTAATGTATATACATTTTTTTCAAAACAATGCTATTGCAAACTTAATAGACTACAGTATAGGGTAAGCATACTTTTTATATGCACTAGAAAACCACAAAATTCATGTGACTCACTTTATTAAATTATTTGCTTTATTGCAGTGGTCTGGAACCAAACCCACAATATCTCTGAGGTATGCCTGTATATAACTTCTTAAAATCATCTTAGTTTCTACAAATGTAAGTACTATGTCAGGTTCTTTATTTTTGTCTTGAGAGCATAAAGACCTCTTGAGTACACCAGGGTACTTACTATACGGTGTAAATTCACAATTTTCCTCACAGTTCCCTTGGAGGTGATGGCCACAGACATTAGTTTAGACAGACTCCAGCCATCCTAACACAATTCTCAGGAAATAAGGATGTGCTCTTAGAGACCCCATGCTTGGCTTTAGCACATTAACTCAAAGACCACTATCTCTCAGAAGCCACAACAAATCTGAATTTTACCAAATGAATCATCCTTGCATTCTTCAGTGCCACAACCTGAACCAAAAAAACTGGCAGAAACATACCAAGGCACTTAATCATGTCTCCAAGTGAAACCTTAACTACCAGCTTCAGTAAAAGGCTAGTTTTCCTCTCTTCTTTTTGCCGCCACTATAATGAAGCTTAGCAACTTCATCCAACCTTTCAACACCTCACTGTAACTACAACGGTTCTTGAACAAGTGTCCTCAGAGTGAACTCCCAAAAAGGGAAGACATTCATTTCCAGATCCTGAAAGTCTCCATTTTTCTCTTTATACTGTGGACATACTCCCAATAAAAGTATTCACCTAGAATACATTGAAGAGAATGTTATATTTGTCTAGTTTGCCTTTTACTGAATGGTAATGGGTAACTCAGATATTTGCTAATGGATACAATGCACTGAATAGTGGCAAGATGAGTAATTTCTGAATTCAAAAGAAAACCATATACATATGCCAACAAATGAAAAGGTATGTATGGGAGGGACTGGCTCCTAATGTCAGAAAATCAATACTGAGACCCTGGTGGGGTAGCTCAGTTGGTTAGAGCATCTCAATGTGACAAGATTGAGGGTTCGATTCTCAGTCAGGACACTACAGGAATGCAGAAAACAACCAATGAATGCATAAACAAGCGGAACAATAAATTGGTGTCTCTCTCTCTCCTCTTCTCCCTTTAAAATCAATCAATTTTACAAAAAAAGAAAAATATGCTGAGCTTTGAGAAGATGTTATAAAGGTGGCAGTAAGATGACATTTAAGGTGATGCATTGGTAACCTTGAATCAAACAGAAGTAAATAAATAAAAAAATTAGTTGATCCTCAACTTGCCTTAATATAATTTATAAATTCCGAGTGGAGAACATCTGTTCCATGGGTAAATTGGTCTCTTTCTTCTCCAGAGTTGTCATTGTCACCAAGGGAAGGCTTTGATCGAAATTCCTGACGAAAGTCCCCTATTAGAAAAAAATAGACAGACAGAAAGCATGATTTCACAAACTGATGAACAAAGTACAGATTACCCTGAAATGTATCATCTAATCATTTCAATTTTCTCTCTTACCTTTTAAGGAGGTATATGACTGACCCAAGTTTTCTCTTCCCTGAATGATGTAAGGAAAAGATAAAAGAAGAAAGAAGAGAAAGAAAAGCAAAAGAAATAGAAAACCACAAACTAAACTTAAAAGTTAAAAGCTTCTATATGGCTTTGTTTCTTTTGAAAGAAAAGAGTATGATTAAAAATGGTGGAGGAGTAAGTGGATGCTGCATGAACACACTCCCAGGACCAAACTGTATTTACAACTAAATTACAGAAAAACTTCCAGACTAATCAACAGAAGACTCACTGGAGAGAACCCTGATAACCAAGGATGGAAAGTGGAGGCTGCATAGAGACTGGTAGGAGGTTGGAGGCACAAGAAGGCTGGCCACGCTCCCACAGGCAGCAGCTGAAGTTCCAGAGAGATATCTCAGCTGTGGGAGGTTCCCATTGAGAACTCTGGGGTCTAATCTCCAATCTGGGCTGCACCAGAACTGAGAAAGCGGCCCACATAACATCTGATTGTGAAAAGCAGCAGGGTTGCTGTCTGCCAGGGAGAGATGGCTGGAAATGCAGGCACCCTCTTAAAGGACCAACACACAAAATTCCCTATGCAGCTACTCACCTTGTGCTCCAGCAGAGGGAGGGTGGAGTGGACTAGAGCTATGTGAGCAGAACCCATGTTTGGGGCCTCTGGGGCAAGAGCTCAGAAGACAGACACCCTGGTTTCCTGTGCCAAGTCATTTCCTCACACTGTGGAGGTCATCTTTCTCACTCAGACAATTGCTATCTAGGCAGTTTTGCCTCTGCGGCGGGTGGGTGGGGGTTGGGGGGGGGGTGTGTGTGTTGACAGTTGACTCACCCTATTGGAAAAAAATCCTCTCCCCAAGGTGTGGAGTTTCTGAGGCCCATTAAGAGACTGAGAATAACAATTAGCCTCCAGGTAGAAGCAATTGCACCATCCAGTTGGGAAAAACTCTTGCCACAACTGTGGATGATTGCCTGAGGGCTATTCAAGACTAAATCAAATCAGACTGCAAGTAGAGGCGGTCTCTGGGGGCTTTGAGTCTTTGCCTGATCTCATTACACAAAAACAGTGTTTGACACTGTCCTACACTAAAGAATGAGAGAGGCATAGAAGATCTACCTAATATATAGTCACAAAACCAAACAGGCACCCAAAATGAGGAGACACAGAAACAACTCCCAAATGAAAGATAAAGAGAATTCTCCAGAAGAAGAGATAAATGAAATGGAGATAAGAAACTTATCTGAAAAAGGGTACAGAATAATGATGGTAAAGATGCTCAACAGCATGAGAAAAGATATAGTAACTATGAAAACAGAAATAAAGGATGACATAGCACAAATAAAGAACACATTGGAAGGAATACACAGCAGAATAGGGGAAGCTGAGGATTGGATCAGTGAATTAGAAGACGGGGTAGAAAAAAATCACTCAACCAGAGAACCAAAAAGAAAAGACAATTTAAAAACAGAAGGCAGCTTAAGGAATCTGTGGGACAACATGAAACTTAAACAATATTTGCATAGGGAATGGCATGAAGTACGAAAGGTAATGGAAAGCAAGGATCTGAAACCAAGATTACTATATCCAGCAAGGCTATCATTCAAAATAAACAGTGAAATAAAGAGCTTTCCGGATAAAAAAAAAAAAAAAGGCTAAAGGAGTTTATCACCACCAAGCCAGCATTACAAGAAATGCTAAAGAAACTGCTGTAATGAGAAGAGAGAGAAAAACCTAGGCATACAGAATTAAAATGGCAATAAATAAGTACCTATCAATAATAACCTTAAATATAAATGGATAAAATCTCCAATCAGAAGACATAGTATAACTGAATGGATATGAAAACATGACACAACTATATGCTGTCTACAAGAGACCCACCGCAGAAGAACAGACTCACATAGGATGAGAGTGAAGGGATGGAGAACAACATTTCCATGCAAATGGAAAAGAAAAAAAAGCTGGGGTAGCAATATTCTTATCTGACAAAATAGACTTCAAAATAAAGGTCACCACAAGAGACAACAAAAATCACTACGTAATACTAAAGGGATCAATCCAATAAGAGGATATAACCCTAGTAAACATAGATGCACCCAATATACGAACATCTAACTATACATAAAAAACTTCTAGAGGACTTTAAGGGAGAGATAGATAATAATATAATCATAGTAGGGGACTTTAATACCCCACTGACTTCAATGGATAGAACTTCTAGACAAAAATTAACAAGGAAACAGTGACTCTGAAGGACATAATGGAACAGATGGATTTAATTGACATTTATAGAACATTTCACCCCAAAGCTGCAGAATATACATTCCTCTCAAATGTACATAGGTCATTCACAAAGATAGACCACATGTTAGGACACAAAAAAGCATATACAAGTTCAAGAAAATTGAAACCAAATCAAGCATCTTCTCAGATCACAGTGGGATGAAATTAGAAATCAACTACAGTAAAAACATCCCAAAACATTACAACATATGGAGGCTAAATAGCATGTCAAGAAAGAAATTAAAAAACAAATGAAAATGAACACACAACAAGCCAAAACCTCTGGGACACAGCAAAAGCAGTCCTGAGAGTGAAGTTCATAGCACTATAGACATACCTCAAAAAAAAAAAAAAAAATCAGCAATAAACTATTTAACCCTACAACTTAAAGAACTAGAAAGAGAGCAACAACAACAACAAAAAAGCCCAGAGTAAGTAGAAGCAAGGAAATAATAAAGATTAGAGCAGAAATAAATGACATACAGACTAAAAAAATATATGAAAAATCAATGAAACCAAGAGCTGGTTCTTTGAAAGGATAAAGAAGATTGACAAACCATTAACCAGACTCATCAAGAAACAAAGACAGAAGTCCCAAATAAATGAAATCAGAAACACAAATGAAGAAGTAACCACTGACACCACAGAAATACAAAAGATTGTAAGAAAATACTATATGCCAATAAGTTGGACAATGTGGATGAAATAGACAAATTCCTAGAAAAATACAATCTCCCAAAACTGAATCAGGAAGAATCCGATAACCTAAATCAGCCAATAGCAATTGATGAAATAGAAGCAGTAATAAAAAAAAACAAAAACCTCCCAGCAAACAAAAGCCCAGGTCTGCATGGTTTTACAGGGGAGTTTTACCAAACTTTCAAAGAAGGACTAACACCTATACTCCTCAAATTATTCCAAAAAATCCAAGAGGAGGGAACACTTCCAAGCTCTTTTTATGAGGCCAGCATTATTTATGAGGCCAAAACCACATAAAAACACTAAAAAGAAAGAGAATTACAAGCGAATATCCCTGATGAACATAGATGCTAATATTCTCAACAAAACATTAGCAAATCAGATCCGGCAATATGTTAAAGAGATCATACACCATGACCAAGTGGGATTTATTCAAGGAATGCAAAGCTGGTATAATATTTGCAAATCAATAAACGTGACACATCACATAAACAAACTGAAAGATAAAAATCACATGATCACATCAATTAGATGCAGAAAAAGCATTCAACAAAATCCAACACCCTTTTTTTTTTTTTTATTAAAAACTCTCAGCAAAGTGGGAATTGAGGGAGCATATCTCAACATGATAAAAGCCATATATGACAAACCAACAGAGAACATTCTCAATGGGCAAAAATTAAAACTATTTCCTCTAGAAATTGGAACAAAACAGGGATGTCTGCTTTCACCACTCTTATTCAACATAGTACTGGAACTACTAGCCACAGTAATCAGATAAGAAGAAGAAATAAAAGGCATCCAAATTGGAAAAGAAGTAAAACTCTCATTATTTGCTGATGACATGATATTGTATATAGAAAACTCTAAAAACTCCACTAAGAAACTACTAGATTTAATAAGTGAATTTGTCAATGTAGCAGGATACAAAATCAACACCCAAAAATCAATGATTTTTTTACACACCAATGATGAATTCTCAGAAAGAGAACCTAAACAAACAATCCCATTTACCATTGCAACAAAAATATTAAGATACTTTGGAATAAATTTAAACAAGGAGGTAAAGACTTGTACATGGAAAACTACAGGACATTGAAAAAAAAAGATAGAAGATACAAATAAGTGGAAGAATATACCATGTTCATGGAATGGTAGAATCAACATCATTACAATATCCATACTACCCAAGGCAATCTACAGATTCAATACAATCACTATTAAAACACCAACAGCATATTTCATAGATTTAGAAAAAATATTCCAAAAAAATATATGGAACCAAAAAAGACCCCAAAAAGCCGTAGCAATCTTGAGAAAGACAAACAAAGTTGGAGGGATCACAATACCAGATTTCAATTTATATTACAGAGCCACCATAATCAAAACAGCCTGGTACTGGCACAAGAACAGGCATATAGATCAATGGAACAGAACAGAGACCCCAGAAATGGACCCAAGCCATTATGGGCAATTAATATTTGACAAAGGAGGCAAGAGCATACAATGGAATCAAGACAGTCTTTTCAATAAATGGTGTTGGGAAAATTGTAAAACAGTGAAACTACAGAGGAGAAACCAAGATGGCGGCATAGGTAAACACCGGAAATTGCTGCTTCCCACAACAAATTCAAAAATACAACTAAGGTTGCGTTGGTGGTATAGTGGTGAGCATAGCTGCCTTCCAAAAATACAACTAAAAGACAAAACGGACATCATCCAGAACCACAGGAAGGTTAGCTGAGTGGAAATTCTACAACTAGAAGGAAAGAGAAAAGCACACTGAGACTCAGAGGAGGCGCGGAAGTGCAGAGGTATGGAGGTGCATGCAGCAAGGGCTGGCAAGTGAGGACACGGCTGTCTTTTTGAATTGGGAGGAAGTCACAAGGCCCCAATTGCTCTGA